AACTCTTAATCCCCTATACCTTTTTTCCCCAATACCCCTGCCAACCAATAGTGTGTTCTCTCTACCTATGAGTATGTTTTTGTTTTGTTTTAATTATAGTTTTTAATATTCCACATGTAAATGAAATAATATATTTGTCTTTCTCTGACTTACTTAACATAATATCCTCTAGGCCCATCCAAGTTGTTGCAAATGGCAAGATTTCATTATTTTTATGGCTAAGTAATATTCTAGTGATTCCAGTGTGTATGTGTGTGATCCATTGATCTATCGATGAACAGGTATGTTATTTTTATATCTCAGCTGTTGTAAATAATTCTGCAGTGAACACAGGGATGCATATGTCTTTATGAATTAGTATTTTTGCTTTCAGAGGTGGAATTGCTGGATCATATGGTAGTTCTGTTTTTAATTATTTGAGAAACCTCCATACTCTTTTCTATAGTGGCTGCACCAATTTATAATTTCACCAACAGTGCCCAAGTGTTCCCTTTTCTCCACATCCTTGCTAACACTTGATATTTGTTGTCTTTTTATAATAAGATTCTGGCAGGTTTGAAGTGATATCTCAGTCTGGATGATTTGCATTTCCATAATTATCAGCAGTATTGAGCATCTATTCATGAGTCTCTTGGCTATCTGTGTATATCTTCTTCAGAAAAATGTCTATTCAGACCATTTGCCCAATTTTAAATTGGATTGTTTGTGTATGTTTATATTTTATTTTTATTTTTTGTGTATGCTTTTAATATTGAATTGTGTAAGTCCTGTATATATTTTGGATATTGACTCCTATTGGATATATCATTTGCAAATATCATCTCCCATTTAGTAGGTTGCCCTTTTCTTTTGTTGATGATTTTTCACTGTGCGAAAGCTTTTAGTTTGATGAAATCCCTTTAGTTTATTTTTCCTTTTGTTGCTCTTGCCTGCAGAGCCATATCCATGACAATATTGTTAAGACTGATGTTAAGTAATTACTGCCTATGTTTTCTTCTTGGGGTTTTATGGTTTCATGTCTTAAATTTAAGTCTTTAATCCATTATGAGTTTGTTTATGTATATAATGTAAGAAAGTGGTTTTATTTATTTATTTTTGCATGCATCTGCCAATGTTCCTAACACTGTTTATTGAAGAGACTGTCTTTTCTCCATTGTATATTCTTGACTCCTTTGTCATAGATTAATTGACCATATAAGCCTGGGTTTTGTTTCTGGCCTCTATTCTCTTCCATTGATACATACGTCCGGTTTTTTGTTATTGTTTTATTTCTGTGTTTGTTTTGGTTTTGGCCAGTACCACACTCCATTACTATAGTTCTGTAGTATAGTTTGAAGTCTGTGAGTTTAATAACTAGCTTTGTTCTTCCTAAGATTGCTTTGACTGTTTGAGTTCATATAAGTTTAGGATATTGGTTCTGGTTCTATGAAAAATTCAGTTGGTGTTTTGATAGGGATTGCATTGAATCTGAAGATTCCTTTGGGTAATATGGACATTTTAACAATATTAATTCTTCTGATCCATGAGCACAGTGTATACTAACACTATACTCTTGAAAAGATTACTTAACCTTTGGAGACTCAGTTTCATAATCTATAAATTTAGGATAATAATAGCCTTACCTCACAGAGTTGCTATGAAGATTAAAGTTTAAATAGATGTAAATTGCATAGAAGAGTGGTTGGCATATATATAAACATTATCTGTTTTCATTGTCTTTGGCAAAACACACCAAAATCAATTGACATACAATATAATCTCATTTAAATGGCAGTAATTCAAAAACTTTTAATAAATGTTTAAGTCAGAGTTCTACTTATAGATTTGAGCAGGAACTGAAACATATAGCCAGGCAGTCATAACATTGGATAGTCCACTTACCTGATTGATCTAAGCCTTTGTACATCAGTTTCTTTGCTTATCCTACATAAAATAACCCAATAAGGAACTTTCACCCTCAATTCCTAAATTATAAATATTCTCTTAAGTGCTACTTTGAAATTTTCATAATTATTGAAATTGATTGATAGCATACAACAAATCATTCATAGAAGCACTAAAAACTTCAGTAAAGGTGTCAGTCATTAACTTAATGCTTTATTGTTGTTCCTTCTGTGAGAAAGAGTCAGAATTTACTAGAACTTTTAATTTTGTAAACTATTGCCCAACTTTTGGCCCTTGTCAAAAGTAAACCTCTGCCAGTTGTAATTCACCATGTAAATTGAGATGTTATTAAGGAAATCTAGTGCAATTGATGACATTCCTGTTCATGACAAGGTCAGTGTCAATGTTACCCAATAATTGAAACTGTTCCCTGCATGACTGGTGGGTGGCAGCTGCCACTAATGTTATTTTTTTGTCTAGGGAAACTGAGAAGATGGGTAAGTGACTTCTTCAAGGTCACATTGGAAATCAGTGGCATTCCAAGGAATAGAACTAGAAATACACTTAGATCACTTCTTAAATAGTTTTAACTTTATTATGAGGATAGTGAATAATTGTTCATGATATACTGGTGTGCACTTCAAAATTATTTATTAGATCCAGGGTCATGCATTTATTATCTCTGAGGTAAAGACTATAAAAAAAGAGGCCCTGGTAGAATCTACCTACAGCTATTATTATTTCAAAGTTTAAAAACATTTATGAAAATGGAGATAATGACAGTGGTCATTATCTGTGGTCAAGATGGAGAAAATTCATTTCTATTGTCGAGCTAGTTTAATGTATTGATAGCTTATAATTTACTTAATGTGCTTGCATGCTGTTAATTTCAAACATACGTGAGTTGTGCCTTCATTTGCATACCCTGCCATATGCCAGTAGCAGGAAAAGTTGCTCTTCTTGTAACATATCTCATAGGCCCCATTTCCCGAGGAAGGAAACTATGAACTATTTTTGGATCCTAAGGCAGAGTCTCCTGTATAAGCTCATCAATTAAAAACCTAGTCTCATAGTTTAATTCTTCAAATAAAATAAAAATGAAACAAAAGCAAATTTAAGTGCTACCTAGGTAAATATATTTTGATAATTTTCTTACTGAATAGGAAATACTCAGTATACTAAGGAATTTAAAAGCAACTTTTAATCAGAAAGCCTTGTAGTTTATTTTCTTTAATAGGTTAAAATTTAAGCATGGATAATTAATCCTGAGATTGGATAGATACCCTTTATAAATAACTATAGTAACTTTATAGCTATTTTAGACCCTGAGTTAGATTTATAATGAATAGAGAATAAATGCCAGATATTTTATATTAGTTTTTTATTTTATTTTTATTGGATTTTTCATTGACCATTCTTGTAAATTCTTCATTCATATATTGAAGCATTTTTTTGCCCTATGCAGTATTGATTCAATAAAATGTTCAGTATTCTGAACCTGGTATCCAGAATATTTCAAAGCCCTTTTGAAATGATCTCTTCTTATTTCTCCACATGTAGGTGTCCTATAGACTAGCATCTGGAAATCAATAGGCATAGTAGACATCACATATTCTATGTGAATAATCAATAAATAAATTCCACTTACCTCTCATACCTATGGACTCATTCTACTATTACAATATTTATGGATTATTTTTTGAAAATTTCATTGCATAGATTGCCACATGGAATTTTCTGATACTGATATTATCAAACTACTTTTCCTTCAAGTTTTTATTAACTTAACAAAAAGTTATAGGTCTCAGGTGCTAAGGTTGTGCATATGGTAGTTTAGGGACGCAGATGGTTTTCTACCTATCCCACATTTCAAATCGCAAGTGGATGACGCAAGTTGCATACTGTTCAATATACAACATATCCAAATAATTGATTCTATGCCCACACATTAAGTGTACTGTGCATGAGAGAATAGCATCTCAACAATCAGAATGTTAATTAGGGAGGGCTGTATTAATACTAGTAAACCCTGCTGATAACATTTTACTATTCTTCCAAAATAATTTGTATGTAAATATAAACCTGAATGTGCTTATGTGCACAAAATATACATATACTCTTATGATTTATATATATATATATGCTTTTTAATATACATATTATTTATAAAGGTATATTGTTAACTGTTTACCAATATATAGTCAGTATTTATGTAAGAATCTGACTATATATACATACATAGACATAATCTCATTTCAAAATAAATTTTGTTATATTTCTACTTTTTGAAGGATGAAGAGAGAGAAAGAGAGACAGAGAGAGAGAGAGATCAGAGAAACATTGATGTAAGAGAAAAACATCAATTGGTTGCCTCCCATATGTGCCCCAACCAGAGATTGAACCTGCAACCTGGGTATGTGCCCTGAATGGGAATCGAACCAGCAACCTCTTAGTGTATGAGATGATGCATCAATTGAGCCCCCTGGCCAGGTCTCTATGGTTTTCAACTATGCAATGCATTATATAAGTTGGTATTAATTTAATTTTTTAATGTTAGATATTTGAGAAGTTTGACTTTTATATTAAGGAGTATATTTTAAAATGTCAGACACATAATTATACATTGTTATTCTCAAATTTAACATTGTAGTTCTAGAGCAAAAAATTATAATTCAATATCTTTTTTGTATAAAAAATTAAACCTAGAAAGTTTTGATCCTATGACTTTCAAAAAGAAAAGTATGCCATCCTGGCCTGGTAGCTCAGTTGGTTAGAGTATCATCCTGATAGGCCAGGGTTGCTGGTTCGATTCTGGTCAGGTGACAAAGAAGAATCAACCAGTGAAATGCATGAATGCATAAATAAGTGGAAAGACAAATTGATGTTTCTCTTTCTCTCTTTCTCTTTCTCTCTCTCTCTCTCTCTCTCTCTCTCTCTCTCTCTCTCTCTCTCCAATAAATTAAAATTTTAAAGAAGAATTCTGAACCAAAAAAGTATGTATGACATGTCTGTTTTTAAATGAACAAATTTAATGAACACTCTTTAATGACCAGTTCTTCCTAAAATCCTTTTTGACATACTGAAATAATTACAAATCTAATTATCATATGTTTTAGGCTAAGATGACTCAGCTGCCCGAGGCAGAGAAGGAAAAGATTGCTGAGCAAGTTGCTGATTTCAAGAAAGTAAAGAGTAAGCTGGATGCTGAGATTGAAATATGGGATGATACAAGCAATGATATTATTGTTCTGGCCAAGAAGATGTGTATGATCATGATGGAGATGACAGACTTCACCAGGTAATTATGTGGGAGATGATGTGCAGTACTTATAATGGTTTGAAATATCTGTCGCATTAGTAAAACCTCAAAGTTCTTTGAGTGTCAGGTGCTAAAATACAAGTGGTAGGGAAAAATAAAATAATATACAATTAGAAAGTTGTAGGAGTATCATTCTAGAGATGTTGGTAAACATGGAATTTTCTTATAAACTGTCAATGAATTATTTTAGAATCCACTTTATACTCTCTTACCTTAGGAATCTTCTCTATGTATCATATGAGCATATTACTTTCACAAAGAAATTGGTAAATCAAATTATGATCTCTGTCAGAGCTATCTGAATAGCTGATTTCCATAGCTACATAATTTTAGTTATATTGAGTTATGTGTAATCAAAATTAGTAAAACTTGTTGCTACAGAAACAGCAACTAGATATAGTTGAGTACAATAACATTGATATACATAAAGCATTATAGATTGTGTGTATGTATGTGATAAAAATAGATTTGCAGCAGAATTCAAGGGGATAAGAAAATTGAAGCTACTAGAAAAAAAAAATATATATATGACTGGGTTCAGATTGGGAAAGAAGGGAAATGAGGTTAGGATGGTGGAAGGGTACAGATACGCCACCAGCAGGTGGTGAGGACACAGATTTCAGTAAAGTTTTCCTTGCTCTGCATCTTCCTCCCTCCCAAAGGAATTAATGTTTTTTATGGAAATAGATGACTTTGGAAAGGAGGCTCAGTGACATCGAGGGTGTCATAAGCTGTAACCAGGGTGTTAGAAGAGGATTCACAACCCCACAGAGTGATATCTTATTGGAAAATAGACACATTTCATGTTTTGCAAAGTTAAACCGTCCAACATTCTCACAATCTATAGGTGTCACTGCCAAAGGCATCCACAGAATAGGAACGTTGCATGTTCAAATAGCAGTAAAGGCAGAGAAGCAAAATTGAATTTTGGACCCTGATAATCTTTTGTACTTGAACTAAATCCTGATTCAGTTTAATTTAAGTTCATATAAATTGTGATAAATTTTCAATTATTTTAAAATGAATGAAATTTTTTATTTACTTCTTTTTTATTCCCAATTCTTTTCAAGAGTTTTCTCAGACACTACAATGTTATTCTGAGGATTAAATTAGCTGTTTTATATCAGTACAGGTATTTTACCTTGTTTGTAATGGGCCTTGTGAGAATAGGGTTATAGCTGGCCCTGCAGTATTTATCAACAAGTAGTCAACCACTGTAGTACACTCTCTGTCCCTCATATAGATTTTAAATAGCTATAAATTAGAAAAAAGAAAAAAGAAATAGTTAATTATCTTTTCTAAAGTGTCACTGAATGCTCTATTTTGTTCTCATTTTATTTAACTGCTATTTCATTATTATTTTAAATATATTTTTATTAATTTTAGAGCAGTGGTTCTCAACCTTCTGGCCCTTTAAATACAGTTCCTCATGTTGTGACCCAACCATAAAATTATTTTCGTTGCTACTTCATAACTGTAATGTTGCTACTATTATAAATCGTAATGTAAATATCTGATATGCAGGATGGTCTTAGGTGACCCTGTGAAAGGGTCGTTAGACTGCCAAAGGGGTCATGACCCACAGGTTGAAAACCACTGTTTTAGAGAGAGGAAGAGAGGGATAGAGAAACATCAATGATGAGAGACAATCATCCATTGGCTGCCTCCTGCACTCCCCTACTGGGGATTGAGCCCGCAACCCAGGCATGTGCCCTGACCAGGAATTAAACTGTGACCTCCTGGCTCATGGGTTGGCTCTCAACCATGGTGACACACTGGCTGGGCTATTTTATCTATAATAATAAAAGCATAATATGCTAATTAGACCGCCGTCCTCCCGGATGACCTTCTGGACGAAGCTGGGGCTGTGAGGGAAGCCCTGGTCCCAGGTGTCAGCGGCCAGAGGGAAGCCAGGGTCCCAGGTGCCAGAGGAAGCCGGTGCTGGCAGCTGGTGGAAGGAAGGCCTACTCTTGCACGAATTTCGTGCATTGGGCCTCTAGTTATTAATAACAGGCTTAACATGGTAAAGTTTGATGAAAGCTTACTATGCTCTACACTACGATGAATTTATATTTTCTCATTTTATTTTCAGGATGTTTTGATTGATTATTGTATTGTCCATTTTATTGTTTAGGAAAGGGAGAGTCATAGAGGTCAGATAAATTGTTCAAGGGCACACAAATGAAATGACTTCCAATTGGAGTTGTTCCAACCTCAGAATCTGGGTGCCTACTCATTGTATTAGAAGTCTTTACCTTAGTGTTAAACAAAGAAGACCCAGTACTTTCCCCAAGGGGAAAACAGATACATTAGAAACGACAACAATCATTATGTAATGCACTGTATACTTATAGCTGTAAGCACATTAGGATTTCTGAAGAGAGGGCGTATCAGTGGGGGGCAGAGTAAGCAGAGAACAAAAATATGAGCAAGTGAAGTTTGTATTAGATTGTAATTGAGATACGGAAATTGGATTGTGGAATGAGATGATATACATGAGAAAACCCACAAAGGTGGAGGTCAGGAGGTGGGTATGACTCAGAGTGGGGGACAGGAAGGGGGCATAGAAACTTATATAAATACAGGAAGAAGTTAAGAGAGGCATGAAGGAAGTGATAGATTTAAAAAAATCTTAGAAAATGGAGAGTTTTTTTAAGAAATAAGAAGTAGGGAACTATTCAACAATTGTGGTCATGCTGGTGACATGATGGAAACCAAAGAATTCTAGGAATGAGAGTCTGGAAGAATGACAGAGATTCAACTCAGGGGGCTCTAGCCACAGTTGGGAGACCCACATAATTAAATGGACTTTGGAGATTCTGGCTAATAGAAACTTGACACATTTCTAAGAAGTACTGTATCCGGGGCTGGAAAAATTACTTCTGTAAAGTTGTAGCCATTTCCGAGCCCAGGCGTATGCCCCTTGGCGCACTGACCATGTAGTACGCCCCTGAGCCTAAATGGCAGCCTGGCACAGGTTTTACTGTGGCTGTTGGTGCACAATTACAAATAGAGTGAGGCCTCTCTGTCACTACCACCGTGTGCATTCATTCTAGGGCAGAAGAGTCAGAAGTTAGTGTCTTAAACATGATTTTTTCTTGGCGAAGGGCCATTCATACAGTCACATAATCTATGTCACCTTATCACACTGAAACTCAGCAGTTCTTTTCTTCCGTACCTGGTATTTTCTAGAAATCAGGCTGAAGGATTTAAGACTTGCTGGGGGTACTTTTGTTTGCCCTCGCCTTTTGCATACCTTCACTGGACACGGGCTTGCATTGAAGAAAGCTTGTCGCCCACCTTTCTTTTCTAAGATACAGTTCTGAGTGATGGATGAGAAAATGAGTAAAGGGGGTGGGGGTAGAAGCTCACCTTGTTTCTGTTCAGCGAGGCTTCAGAATTAAAGCCTTTCAAAAGCATTGCCGAGATGCATAAAAATTCCTGTGTTCTCTGAGTCACATCCCTTTGTTCCTTAAATATGAAATCTCTTTGCAAATAGCTTGTTTTACTTTTTAGAAGTGAAATATTTATATTCTAATGAAATGTGTTAACAACAATGACCATTTAAATGGCTTAGCTCACACAGCCAAGAGAAGAATAAATATTGAACAGTTTCTTTTTTTTTTTTTTCCTTTTTACCCAAATGGTTAAAAAATGGTCACTGGAGGAAATTTGTATTTTGACATTTGCAGTTACTGTCAGAGTTTAATTAATTTTCATTGTGAACTTCCTTTAAAATAAATAACCTTTCCTTGCTCCGCTCTATAGAATGTGCGCCTTCTGTGCTGGGAAAATAAAGCCAGGTTCTGTCTTGCCAAAGAATGCAGTGTTCACACAGGGGCTTTTTAAAGTCTTACTCAACTCTGTGGTGTGCAGGTCTTTCCACTTTACCTTCCCCAAACAGAATAAATTATTAATCCAAAAATAAAAAAGCAACCTTATATCTTATGATTTAAGCCATAAAGGCAGATAAATTTTTGTTTTATTTCATAAAGCTATGAATTCTGTTTCTCATTTATATTAAACTAGTAGCCTGGTGCACGAAATTCATGCACATTAAAAGGGAATTAATTGCCCTAACCGGTTTGGCTCAGTGGATAGAGCATCAGCCTGCAGACTCAAGGGTCCCAGGTTCAATTCTGGTCAAGGGCATGTACCTTGGTTGTGGGCACATCCCCAGTGGGGAGTGTGCAGGAGGCAGCTGATCGATGTTTCTCTCTCATTGATGTTTCTAACTCTATCCCTCTCTCTTCCTCTCTGTAAAAAATCAATAAAATATTTTTTTTAAAAAAAGGGAATTAATTAGCAGAGATATTTTAATATTGCTATTTGCCCTTTCTCTATATTGGAAGTATGAGAGATGAAAGGAAATTAGTAAAATATATATGAAAATAATATATAAATTTATTAATAAACAGTAACAAGGATATAACAACAACAGAGGCATGCTATAAAAACAACAAAAACATGATATGAAAACAACAGAAACATGATACAAAAACAACAGTGATGCAAACAACGACTGATAAAGTGATTAAACGTATTCCAATATCTCCCTGTACACCACATTAAGAGTGAAAACACTTTCAGAGTGCTTGACTAATTTCCCTTGTGATGAAGTATTTAGAACTTTAACTGTAACGTCACATGCTCTTCAAACTCGAGAGAAAGCAACATATAACTGACCATGTGCGAAAATGGGTTCTGGTTGGAATATGCCTACTTTGTCTAGAGTTTGTCCTTGGGATTTATTAATAGTCATCACAAATGCTGGCATCATGGGAAACTGTCATCAAATCAATTTCAATGGGAGGCCAGTGTCAGATGGGGACAAATTAATTCTTGGAATCAGAACAACCTCTCCCTCTGCAGTTCCTGTTAATACTTCAGCTTCGATAATGTTAGGTTGTAATCTTTTGATAATAAATCTGGTACCATTACAAAGACCCCATTTACTATTGAGATTTCTCAATAGCATG